AGAGAGAGAGAGCCAGGAGAGAGAGAGAGAGCCAGGAGAGAGAGAGAGAGCCAGGAGAGAGAGAAAGGAAAGACAGGAGAGTGAGGAGAGACAGCCAGGAGAGAGGGATTTTTTTTCCGTTGGTAGATCTCATGTAGCTTGTCATTTGAAAAGTAGATCTTAAAACAAAAAATTGTGGGCACCCCTGCTGTACATGGTAACATTACAGGAATTTAAACATGTGGATTTGTAAAGTTTCGGACAGATCCACTTTAGGAATGTGAACATCGAAAATGAATTTATGGTAAACTGCAATAATAAGGCATAATATGTAAATACTAGAAACACATTATTTAACCGATTAATCGAACTTAATAATCGGCTAACTAATCGATTTTGAAAATAATCGTTAGCTGCAGCTCTAGCTGATACCACTGCTTGTGGCAGCAAGTTCCAGACTCCAACTGCTCTAACTGAAAGGAAGTCCCTACGACCCTTGTGGTTAAATCTTTTCTCCCCCAATTTTATGTGGTGGCTTCTAGTCTTGGTTATGGAGATGTTCCCTTTACATCACATGACTTGAACCAATGTTACTGAAGCATCTACCAAGCACAGGACTTTTCTCATGCATAGCAGCCCTGCTTGCTGAGACTTCTAGTTCATTATAACAGGAGGGGGGAACAGGCTGCGCACCATTGTGTTTTTATAGTTTTCTGACATGTCTTGACATACTTCAGCTGCTTTTAGACTGAAGGCATTCATTGTACTGTTGCCCCCTGTACAAGCTTCGTAGGCGTAGGTTAACAATCATACATTAATGCTGATTAAGGACTCAATTTAAACTCCATGAGAAAGCTATTAATACATGTGAAAGTGATAAAAGGAGAATACATGCTGACACCAACAATTATCACACTAGACTGGAACTGCAGTGATCTTCCACTTGGTGGTACTGCTCCTTGGTTAGTGACAGCAACAACAATACCTTAAAGGGAACACATGAGGAATCTATGGGAGCTGTCATTGCTGACTTGTCTTTAAAGGTGCAGACTCTTGATGCAGTCATCCGATCCTGGCATCACTACTTTCCGAGTCCCTGGCCTGTATTGTGTACTTGCTCCAAGTCAGTGACTTGCTAGTCAGGCACCTATGTGTCTCTTCATCATTGACCTTCTTACCCCCAGCCTAAAACCTTGGAAAATATGGTTTTGCTTAAATACTAACCGTCTGTTCTGCTAATCCCTGCTTCTTAAGGGACACTTGTCACGTAAAATGCTCTGAAAATTCCCGCTACTTGGCTGTCTCAGTTGTTCCTTTATTATGGACCCAGAACAATCATGTAGCAAATGATACCAGAGCTCGTGCATAGCTGTTCTATCTCAGTGACCTAAAGTGTTGAAACCACAGAAGCAACATTTTTTTAAGAAGGTCAACAGTGGTGGCTTCCGTATTTTTCTAATGACAGGTTACTATGAAAGCAAAACCTGCAACAGCTGGAAGAAAAGAAAGTAACACTTCCTCTATATACCAGACAGCCTTTGGTACCCCATCAGACTTTAACGGTGTCTCCATAATGCTCACTGATCATTATTATTTAATTAAAAAAAAATTTACTCTTAAAAAGGAGAACTATGGGGTTAGGGCTTTTCCCCATAGTTCTCCTTAGGGTATTGGGAGGACACAAACTAGCGTCCTCCTGTCACCCTAAGCTCAGTATACCGCGAGCTACAGCGCGCGGTATACTGAGACGCTGAAGCGGATCCCGACAATTATGTCTGGATCCACCCAGCTGTGTGAGTGACAGCTGGGTGAGTGACAGCTGGCTCTGCCTATCTAGAGGCAGTGCCAGCTGTACCCGCCCCCTCCCTGTCCGTTCTGCCAGTCAGCGCTAGAGGAGCCTACAGTACCTACGGTACCTTAAAAACCCCATCTTTTTCTTTTTGTGATCACTACTATTCTTAAGGGTGTGGTACCTCATACTTAGGTCCCAGCCATATAAAATTAATTGTATGATACCCATCAGACTTTAACAGTGTCTCCATAATGCTCACTGACCAAACAATGCCCCCACAAAACTCCACACCAAAAATGGGGTCCAGAGTCCCCGGTATAATTCAAAATGTTAATTCTCCCACAAAAAAACTGTTTTGAGATTCAACAGACCCAATATTGTGTAGAAATGGCCACCATATAAACTTTCTACTAAAAAAACATGGTATACTTAAAAGTCCCCATAGACTGTGTCCTCTGTGTCCCCCAAATTCTAGTAAGAGTAATGCAAACCTATAAGGCTCCTAGTTATTGCACTTTATCACAATGGGGGAATTTATCAAAACTGGAGCAAAAGAAATTTGGAGCAGCTGTACCTGGCAACCAATCAGCTTCTCTCTTCAGTTTGTTCAGTTAAGATTTAAAAATGAAAGCGAGAAGCTGATTAGTTGCCATGAACAGCTGCTCCAGATTTTGTCTGCTCCAGTTTTGATAAATTCCCTTCAATGTGTATTCAATGCATATCCCCTTGTGGGTTCTGAGTTGACTACAGATTATCCATAATGTCATTACGAATTCTTTAAAATAACTCCCAAATGTCCGCAATTCAGGGCTATAAAGTGCACACAAATCTTAATTCCCAATAATGGGTCTTTCCAAAAATAGAATACCCCATAAATAACATCCCCTAAGAGCAGGGGAGAAAAGGAGAAACATGGATCCAAACATTAGTCTTGGACTAAGGTACACTATATATGTTGCAATTTATGTCTATATGTTCGACAAGTGGAGGTCAGAAGATTTGCACCGCAACTACCAACACAATTATGTCCTTCTGTCCAGCAATACAGACAGAGTATGAAGATTGATAAAAAAAATCCTTCCAATATATAAAGGACTTTTTTTCCACTCACGAATGCAAGAATTTCATTCCTGGTGACAGGTTCACTTTATTTAGAATAAGGATCCATATTGTGGGCATAGACTTGTCTCCATCTGTACGGATGGTCAAGAAAAGAAACTT